AACAATTCCTTATACATCATTTTTTATAAAAAAAATGCTAAAAAAAAATTCCTTATAAAATATAAGGAAATGTATTATAGAATTTCAAAAAACGTATACAAAACTTATTTATAATAATGAAAAAACGTATGCAAATTTTTTATAAGGAGAAAGTATGTGCAGACTGAAATAAATTGATTATAAACCTCAAAGAAATGAATAACGATTATTGAATCCTAACTCCCTTCTCTCACTTAGAATCGTTAATTTATTTTCTTATTTTTGTATGCTTTTCTAATTATAATCTTAACACAATAAAAATTTATATCTAAAAGTATACTCTTAGTATAAAAAAAAATAGGAGTGTAAAAATTTCTTTCATAGCCTGTCAGCGAAATTTTTTCTTAGAATGTTAGTCTATTAAGCCTTTTAATAAATAGTTGAGCAAATATATTTAAATTTTACCTTTAAAGCGAATATATAAATCCTCTTATAGCCTCCTAATCCACATACTATAATAATAGCACTTGCTAGGAGAAAAAATATAGTAGAAATATGAGCAAGCCCTTTAGGATGAAGCAAATATGGATGCTATATTTTTTCGATTCTTTGTTACCCTATTCTAAAGTATGCTAATATATAAGGTAAATATGAATACAGAAGTTGCAGAGCATCGAAGATGCAGAGCATGTAACTAAAATATAGAAATAATTAAGTTAGGCAATCTTCTAAAGGTCTTAACTGAAAGAGGATTAGATGTAAATTTTTCTGTAATGTATCATAAATGTGCATACATATTAGGTAGTGAGATAAAGCTAAAATAGTGATGGAATAGTTTTAGAAATATTTTTAGAACTGATTCAAAACTGATCCAAAATCCTTTACTCTTCTTCTTCTAGCCTTCTAGCATCTTCTAATAACTTAGCATCCTAGCATTCTAGCCTCTTCTAGCATTTCTGTCTTTTTAGCCTTATTTCTTCTTTGATCAAGACCTTCAGGAGAAAAGTTAACTGCTACATCCTAAAATCTATGATTGAAGGAGTCATAAGAATCGTTAATTTACTTTCTTGCTTGTGTATGCCTTTTTAATTACAATTCTGACATAATAAAAATTTACATCTAAAAGTATAGTCTTAGGTAAAAAAAAAGGCTATTATAATGTAAAAAAAAATCAGTTAGCAAGATGTAAATAAAAACTTATCAGCCAAGATAATCTAGCTTTACTAATCTTCAAAGGGGTCAATACCTATATTCTTACCATCTGAGTCATAAATCTGAACTTTAGAAATGTTATCAAAAGTAACGATTCTAGATTAAAAGATCATAATCTCATTATTAGGCTCAAAAAATAAAGCTTCATCTCCAGTATCTTCTAATTCTTTATCTATAAATAGAGTAATAGTATTGGTTACCCGTAATATTTCGATCTGCTATGAACTCTACTCTCCTGCTTCTTCAGTTTTATTCACTGATAGCTCTAGAAGCAATTCATCAATTTTTATCTAAATTAAATCATCAACATTAGCTTTATCCTGAAGATTATTAAAATATTGGTATCAGAATGCTTTCTACAAAGGTCAGATTTAAAGCTAGTCAGCTTATTATAAACCTTACAAGGAATACGAGGTTTAGCTTTCAAATATTTAAAATAACCTTTAGGTCGATGACAAGTTCACTTATAGATATTTCTAATTATGAGTAAATAATTGCAATAATATTCGTCTACCATGCCTTCTTGTTATTTCACAACTGCGAAGTGATTTTATAAACCAAAAAATAAGTTTATATAATAAAAAAATACATTATATTAACTATTTCTCCTAAAGGTCTTGATCAAAAAAGGGGAAATAAATATTTTATTTTAAATAAAAGTTTTACTATATTAATACAAACATTCAATACTTATACAAAATGGTTAACTATAAAGATATTGAATCAGCATTAGTTGAGGTAATCAAAGTGGTATATAACTAAAACATGAAAAAATATGATAAAATGGGATTGATATATGTGAGTTATTTGAAAATAATGTAACGCAAAAGAGATCAGATGTTCATTGCAGATACATAGTAAAGCAACGAGTTCTAAATGAAGAAGTTTATAATGAAAAAATAGCAGATTTCAAAGATGAAAAAGTGTATCAGAGTCTTAAAAAGTTATACAAATTATATCTCTCATTTACAAATCAAGAAGAGGTTGTACAAAAAAGGTCTACAGAAGAAGTAAATGAAATACTTAAACTTTATGAATTAGAAATCTAACTTACAAGTATCTATTGTGGTGAATATTCTATACCAGGAGAAACAATTTGAAGCTCATTTCTCACAAAAGACCTTTCTGGACCATTGTTCTCATTATCTATTAGCCAGTATAAGACTGGCTAATTTTTTATATTAAGATTTACAGATCTGATAAATCTTAGAAGACCAATTCATATCAGTTACACGTCTTCTTCCTTCCTTATACTCACTCAGATCAAGCAGGTATATAACAGAATCATCATAAGATAATCTCTATTTATCATATTTCATAGGTCCATTTTGAGATTTAAAAGGCTTAGCAATTACTCTTTTCTTTTTTATTGCCTTAGCCAGAGTAATATCAAGTAAGCAAGTTACAGAGTTATTAAAATCTTTTATTATTAAATTAATAAAACTAGGTAGGTCTTCTAATTCTATTATATTAGAAAAGGAATTTAATAAGTCATACGCATCAAGAATACTATAAAATCATTCTTGAAAAATTCTATTAAATCTTTCAATAATACCTATAGTTTTCTTAGACTTAGCCTTCTAAATTTTTGCATCATGCTTTTTTAGTAATTTTTCACATTCACTCTTAAATTCAGAATTTTTATCTGATAAGAATACTTTAGGCCAAATAAGAGGGTGATTAGAATCATCATAGATTTTTTCTAAACATCTCACAATTATAGATGAAGTTAAGATACCTTTCTTATTCTTAATACTCTTAGCAGGCCCCCTAAGAGCCATACCAATAGAAACAGTTGCTTTATATCTTGAAGCTATATCAATTATATTTAGGTAAAAAAAATAAATTGTTTGTCTAAACTTAATATGTCATATATAGAGAACATCAGCCTGGTGTACTTTATTAGAAGTAGTAATAGAGCTAAAATTTGCTTGAGGAATATATTTAAGACGAGGTTTATGTATCTGATGTACAGCCTGTCTCTTAAGCCAATCATAAACTTCATTTAAGGTAAAATCATATCCAGCCTTTTTAGAGGCTTTATGTATTTTTTTTTGCAGTCCTCTAATAACCCGAAGGTTGATAATAAATCTTCTGCAAAGCAATAGAAATATCTAATTTTCGAGTTTCACTGAATCTATCTGAATAATAAGAATCAATAGGAGCTGAGCAGGTATATATCGATTTACTAGACAGTAATTTATAATTGCGAATAAAGTTGACTAAAGAGAAAACTATTACTATTAAAAATAAGGAAAAGATTTGCAAGCTTACAAATGATCTAGAATAATGTGAACTATATATTAAATATCTTGAAAAAAATCTCATATCTTGTGAGAATAAGTTAGATAGACTAAAAGCAGAATACTGCTTTACCTTACATAATCTCAAAAAATGTCAGGATCATTTAGAGCTAAAGGATGCGACATTAATCACTCAAGATAATCGAATCATTCTACTAGAAGATACAGTAAAAAGTTTAAAAGCCAAATTCTCAAGATATCACTTTTTTAAAATAACAGTAATAAACCTTTTGAAGAAAAACATCAAGAAAATATGGTACTACCAGAAATCTTAAGAAATATTGATATAGCTTTAGATCAGATTGAAAATTATATTAATAGTGATATATCATTTGATCCAAGAAATACATTGAATGGCATATCTTCAAATATTTTCATGTAAACTACTATCTATCTAGTAAGGTTAATCATATTCATAACTACTATAAATACTTTGTAAACTGCCTTAATATTTCTTTAAATTTGACATATATAATAAAAAAAAATGATCTTTTTGGCCCTTTCTCAATAATGCAATATACAGTGTGTTACAAAAAAAAGTGAAATTTTTTAAACAGTTATTACATCATAACAACTGTATAGAATGTCACATATTATAGCTTGTTTAAAACCTCAAAAGTTAACTTTTATTTATATAAAATTTAATAGGAAATACATTCATTATTTTTTTCTATTATAAGCTTACACAGTTGTTTTATTGACTGAACTAAATTAATTAGAATCTGATTTGAAATATTATTTCATTTGTCTACCATAAATCGCTCTAATTCAGTGAGATCTTTTGGCATACGTCTTTTTATATTTTTCTTGATAACATTCCATAAATTTTCTATTGGTTTAAGTCAGGATTATTAGATGGCTAGTCTATAACTTGTCACATATTTTCTGCAAGAAATACTTTGGGTTATTGTCTTGCTGAAAACACCATTCACTACCCAATATCTCATTAATCTCAGGAATGTAATTGTCAAGTATTTCAATGTAAAATTGAATATTCATAATTCGCTAAAAATAAAAAAGGTGTATTTTCCCTTGTGCACAAAATCCCTCCATGCAAAAATTTTTGAGCGGTCTTTTGGTATTAGACGAATTGGCTTTTTGCTTTTGTGTCAATGCTCAATTGTGTTTCTGAAGAGCTGAAAGGCAGTCTTATTAGAAAATAAAGTCCATTACCAATCATCATTAAGGTGCAGATTAGCCTACCTATACGCTTTCTTTTATGCATATCTGTTAACATTGACATGACTTTAGGTAGGCTTTTTTGATATTCTACTGACTGCAAATGTCGTGCAATTGTTACATGTGATACATTCATATAATTTTTTATCACTTTTATTGCCAGAGTTCTGGTTGATACAGTCATACATATTGGCTTAAAGCGTGTGATACAACAGCCGTTATCTTTCTATCTATTTAAGTTTATTAATCATTTTATTATTATAAATAGTCAAGAGACTAATTTTCGTTTATGCATGTATTTTTTGGTATCATGAATACCATTCTTCCACAAATATAATACAGATTGGTCTTGATTTTCTAGTTTGATATGAGCATTTTGTCAGTAACTACTGTATAGCAAAAGTTATGCATTACTAAAGTTGTAAACATCTTAAAATAGTTAGTGATCTTGGCTTTATTTTCCATTTTATATCACCAAAATCTGATTATGTTTGAGCAAATAATGTGCGTTTTTAATTAGCGAAAAATTTTTCACTTTTTTTTAGTAACACACTGTACATATAATATATTAATGGTTAATTTCTCAAGTAAAAGACTTTTTCAAAGGATCAATATTGGCAAAAAGATCTCTATATAAAGATAGAAATATCCTATTATTAAGTACCTCTGTCTTTCGAAAGCTTATATATCATATTTCTTTGAAAACATCTTCAGCTAATTATGTAATACAAAATTTAATTAGTGATTGCAGTGACTGATAACCACATGCACGTAGGATTAGTAATCCTAGTTCATTTAGCAACAACTGAGCTTCTATTGTAGGTTATACTGCGATAGTCACAGGTTCAGGTCTTAGCCGAGGCATAAAATTAGATGATTTTCATAAGGATTTTATATGTAACTGAACACGTGAGCATTTAGACTAATAAATGTTAGATACTAGTCGATTGATCTGTCAGTTGACGTTAATCATGCTTAAATACTGGATTTGAAGAACAAGTAAATGCAAATGAAGCTAGGGATTGATAGAAACTTGACCTTCACTAATAGGTTTATAATAGATACTGTCTCATATCTTCAAATTCAGGGGTCCTTACATAAGTAAGAAAGTGATTAACCAGTAATTAGTAGATTAGGTACCTCCTTCAGGTAGACTATGGTGATAATAGACTGCATTACACATCGCAACACTATCCAATCGAACTATTACTAGGAGTAGAGGCTGAGTTTGATTTCCAGGTGAATTTGACGTTATGGGTACTAAAACCACCATTTATATAAAGGATCTGATCCCATAGTCTCAGTAGTCATTAATAGGATAAAACCCTATAAATTAGATTGATAAAATAGGGTATGACAAGCTTTATAGTTAAAGTAAATCCTCTATCCAAAGGTGATAGTACCAATAGTCTAGTGAGCTTATGACTATGGGTATAGCTGTTACAGGTAGTCTATACTAATGGCAAACTGTTGGGATGTGCTTCTAGTGTTGGGTTGCCGTATCCCTTAACTGAGGATCAGAGACTTAAAAGGGTCATATTGAGGGTAATATTTACTTAGTATATAGGTATTCTTCCTAATGTTCTCTTTAACTGTCACATATTAATAGAAAAAAAAACCACATGTACGACAGCTAGCATGGTTAAAAATCTATTTATTGGTTTAATTTCACGTGATGATCAATATTTATTAGCCAATTAAATTTTAACAAAAAAAAGAATAAAAAAAAATTGTTCAAAAACTTTATTTTTACGAAATATTTAGTTTTAACAAACACATTAGAATGTATTTGACAAAATATTAGTAATATCTTGTAATACTTGATGTGAATTTAAGGTAAAAGTTTGATTTGAAAACTCTAAAAATATAAATCGATAGAGTTTAAAATTTCTTTGGTATAATATTTTAACGTACTTAAAATTCTTTTTTATAATTCAGAATCAGTTTCAATCTTCAATTTATAATTATCAATTTCCTCAAGTTCACAATTATTTTCATTCATTTCTTCTTTATTGTTTAATTCTAGTTGAGTTTTTTCCAAGTGTAATCTTTCATTATATGATTTTATTAATTCATTAATGGATTTATTCAAGTATTTATAACAATGTTTACATTTTAAACCCAATACTCAAAAACATTCTTCATGATATGCATGATCACATATCAAAATTTCACCTTTCTCATTTGTTGAAATTTTTTTGCAAAATTTTTTGTCACAAAACTTTTTCATATTTAGAAGTACAGGTAAATGGTATCCAAAAAGTAAAGCATCAAGAGGAAAACTTGTAGGAATAGGTGTAAAATAATAATAAGGTTTTTTGATCCTTTTTCCTTCTATTTTTTTTTCTACTTTACCATTATTTTTCCAAATCTCTTCAAAGAAATTCAATAAAAAAAGAGCAGTTTTTTTAATTATTTCATCTAAATCTTTTTTTTTATATGAATAATCCCTTTTTGATACAAATGATGTAGCAAACAAATTTTCATTTTGAAAGTTATCAATAAAAAGGGCATCACGTCTAAGAGATTTACTTGAAGAAATTTTTGCTGTGATGTATTTTCGTAAAAGACTGTGAAAATTCTCAACAATACATATTTAAATTATTTTTTAAAGTTTCAATAATAGGATGGTTTATTGATTTCCAATAATACACATCGGATAAAAAGGCAAGGAGAATTTTATCATAGTTATGTCGCTAAAATCTTCTCATCATGCATCACAAATAGAACACTGTATCAACATATTTGTTAAACTTGTTATTTCTCTAGTGTCGCTGAAATAAGATTATCAAGTAAATCAAAAAATGTTTTATATCCAGTAATTTTTTTGTATTACCAAATCTGACCATTATAATATTTTTTATAAGTTTCCATCCTGAATTTACCAAATACATCAATAAATTAACATGCATGATTTGGGTTTGACTACAAGTTTTTTTTTAGCATCAAATATTGTTAAATATAATTGGTTAAAAAATGACCAAAAAACAAGAAATAGTGATTCACAGATATTAAGTGAAAGATGTAACGGGCTAAGAAAAGAAATTAAATGCGTAATATTATTTGATATTGACGCATTATTATCAGATTTCAAAATATTAATAATTGCTCTTCTAATGAACAATTGCCCAGGAAAATCAGCTGGAATAGGAATGGTATATTGCTTTAGATAGGTTTTTATTTCAGGCAATCTTTAAAATAATAATTGTAAGTAATTATAATTATAATTAAAATTCCATTAACTCTCCTTCATGATGATTATTCCAATAAGACATTATTGAATTATAACTTTTAGCTAAAGGAATCAGATGTGTATTCCAAAGTGCTGTTTTAATAATAAATGCATCTACACTATTTGAATTATGTATAGGTAAATGGGTGTTAGTATAATAGGGAATTGGTGGTGCTTTGTTAGTATTAAATAATATGGTAGCAATATGTGATATCTGATCTTTAGAAGTTACAGAAGGAATTCGTGTGCTATGTAGATTATGATAGTCATCAATGCAACCTATTATAAGTCTATTATGTTAAATAAATTATATATTTTATTAGCATTTAAATATTTTTTAAAAAAATGCATTTTCATTTCTTACATGTCTTTGAATATATGCTTGTACGCTAGATTTGTGATTAATTGCAATATTTTCAAGTTTATTAAATAAAGTTTGATACGTCGAACAGATTCCCATATATTTATAGTATTTTCAGTTGTAAAAAAATACGTTAGAAAGATAATTATATTAAAAGGTGTTTCTTTCATATTAGAGTTATATGATTGATTAGGTTCGTTTACATTATTTTTCACTTGGTTTGCTCAAAAAAGTTGTTTGTTTTTTTTTTTATCAAGGTTAAAGATAGATGTAGAGACTTTAATAATATTTAAAGCATTTTGCATGAATAGTATCATTTGTGCTAGAGTCTTGTGATATAGAAAAAGGAGTTTTTTTGCCATGTCTATTTTCATTTTATATACTTTTGAATCTTCTATAATAAAGTTTAGTGTAGGAGTAACATAAGTAGTTTATATAAAGTTGATATTAGTTAAGTAATGTTTGAAATTCCTATACTTGTTAAAGTAATATTAGATTTTGAAGTTTTAACTTTCTGTCTTTTTGTAACTTTAGTAGTATTTATATAATTTTTATTTTTTCTGTTATTGTTAGAGAATGAAGCATTAAGTTCTTTATCAATTTCTAAGTTATTTGAAATAATTTTATTATAAAGTTCAAGATTTTCATATGTACTTTATCTTTTTGTTATAAGTGATATATTGATGAAAAGATCAGAAAGAGTTATATTTTATTTTCTTGTAATTATTAGATAATAAGTTATTTTAAAAAATTAAAAAATTAATATATATTAATAATTATTAATTTAAAAAAATTAAAAATACTATTATTAGATAAATTTTAATATGACAAATCTAATAAACTTTATTTTATCTTTTTATAATCACTAGATATTAAAATATTATAATTTTTCTACAATATTTTATAGCTAATTTATATTTACGCTTTAAGGAATAAAGCAAATTATTTAGGTATTATATAAAATTTTAAAAATAATAATTTGAATATTACTATAAAAAGATTTTTAAATTCAAAAGATTTTAGCAAATATTTTTTAAATGAGGCAAATATCTAATAAATTAATGTTTAATATAATTTTTGAAATATCTAAAATAATCCAAATTATATTATTAGATAAGTTCAAATCAAACTTTTAGTGCAGAGCTTCATAATTATGTTTTAAGATATCATGGTATTATAAAAGATCCTAAAATAAATGATTATATATTAGTAATAGATTATGTATCAGAAGGAGATTTACATCATTATTTACAAAAGAATTTTACAGAAATATCATAGAATTCAGATAAATTTAAAACTAAATTAATTATTTTATTAGATATTATAACCATATATATGTATTTTATTTTATACTTTTTATATTTATTAATAATTAATAATACTAATTGATTTTTTAAGTTAGACTTTGAGATATAAGTTATAAAAATCTCATACATCGAGATATATATAGTAAAAATATATTATTTTATTATACTTATTAGTAAATTGAAGATTAAGAATTATTACAACCTGTAAATAATACTCTATTAAATAAAGAAATTGAAATATATAAAATAATACTTTATATTACGCTAGAAATATTTAATAGTACTTTATTTACAAAAGCATCTGATATTTATAGCTTAGTTATGATTATATGGGAACTTATAACAGGATGTAAATCTTTTGCTAATGTTGAACATGATCATCATCTCATTTATAGTATTATAAATGGAAATCAACCTAAAATTATACAGAATACTCCTAAATGTTATGCTGATTTAATGAAAAGTTGTTGAAATACTGATCTATTAAAAAGACCTTCTATACAAGAATAATGCTAAAATATATTCGATGGAATATGAATATGATATAAATACTTAAAAGTAATTGTTATTTTCTTAATAAATAATATATATGATATTAATATTTTTAATTTAAATAATTCTAAATTTTATTATATTTAGTTTACCCTTATTGAATAATAATCCTATTTTATAATATTTAGATTTATGTAGAACAATATTTTATTAGAAAATATAACAATTAAAATTAAGTTTTAATAATTAAAATTTTTTGAATTTTTTGTTTATTTAGAATATATTTTAAAAGAACTTGAATTTAATATTGTAAGTCAAGATATTGTAATATAATAATTAAAGATAGTCCCCATAATTATTTTCAAATTTCAATTGAGTTGCAACTTAATTGCACCATAAGGAAATTTAATTGCGCCACAAGTTGCAACTCAATTGCGCCATTTTTTTTAATTGCGGTGACCATCTTTAATCTATACTGTTTAGCTATATTTTCTGTTTGATTTTTTGAAACTGTAAATCTGTAATATGACAATATCTACCATTTATTCAAATATCGAAATAAAGATTATTAAGTTCTCTCTGTGTTACTTTGCATGAATAGCATTCTTGATCTGCATTATATCGTCGAACTCCTGTCATATCATTGCCTTATGGCAAATCGGCAGTGCACATACCAAGACCTCCAGAAACAAATACTCTTTTACCATTAAAATTAGTCATAATTATTCATCCTGTAACTTCTGCATTTGACAAATAAAAGATTTAATAAAGTCCTCAATTTTCACACTAAATGGAACAAGACCAACCAAGAAATAATTTTTGAGACGCTGTTACATCAAAAGTGACATGTTTCCAATTTATACATATAATCTGCCTAGCTTATAATATGCTTTACCAAATGCACCAAAATTATCGTAATACAAATCTATAAAGAATGGCGAAGATTAAGTGGATTCTGAAAATTGTATCGATATGGTAATTGATGTCATTGATGTATATGTCTTATTTTTGGTTGATTGTTTTGAGTATATAGAATTTCTCCAATTCGATAATCATAATTCTCAGATCCTATTGAATCCTTAAGCCAGACATCAATATGACTAATCACATCATTAATTTAAATTGTTTCTTATTCTTCAGTTAACCAAACAGTATTGTTTTGAGATTGTTTTAGATGATTAATCAATTTCATATTACCTGAATGATTCGCGTAATATAAAATCTTTGAATGTATAATAATTTTTCGTTACTATTCTCTTTAGGTATTACAATACCATTGACTTATCCCAATTGTTGATATATGGTTGTTTCCTCTTGAATACGATAGATCACAAAATCTCTGGCTTGATAAAGTACTAAAGAAATAATGATAAATATTCTTTGAGTTTAATCACAGCGTTAAATATAAACTATAAATATTACCATTTCCGATTCTGTATGATGTTTCACCAAATATTGGTAACTCTTTTCATATTTGTCTATGCCATAATTCTAACCTTTCCGAAGTCTTGACACTAGGACCAAAGTATAATTTTAGATAAATAGATAGATTATTAAGAATACGTTGGAGGTGATCGAGAATAGAAAAGGTATACCCTTCTTTATGAGAATTATAAGTAGACAGAGTATCTATTGGATTAATTTTGATATTATAGCTATTAAGAGTTATTAATAGCATACCACATCACATTTGTTTTAACGTTGTAATACTGAAAGGGAGATCAGATATGCAAAATTCTGGATGTTGCAAGGTTTTTGCTAGGTCTTGATATGTGTGAGATCCTGTTAATTTATTGAATAAGATAATTGTTAAAAAAAATGTGAATATTCTAAAACAGCATGATTTATTGTTACCTATCATGTATTTTATATATCAAATAAATATCATCATCACATTTTATTAGGAAAGGTAGGTCCAGCATCGCCAAGATAAGCAGGTATGTTTTGCGACCCATCGTATTGATTGTTGAATTCAAAAGAAATCTCATCTTCACTACTATCTGTATCATGATTAGATTCCAATGAATAGTTTTCTTGTTCACCTTCATTAACACTGTTCTCTTGTTCGTTTTCATTAACACTATCCTTATTTATATATAAATTATCTGTAAAAGGTCATGCGTAGCATTTTGTATATTATCAGATATTACAATATTATTCCTCTTTTGTTGTGAAATCAAATCAAAACTTTTATCATTAATAAAGTTAAGTTGAGGTAAAGAAAATTTAACAAAGTTACTTTGAGTACGTGTATTAATATTTGTGTTCAGAGGTTGTTGAACAATTTTTTGAAGGTTAACTTTTTTACCTATTCTTGGATGAATTACTTGCCGTAAATTTGCTACTTGAATTATTTTACGTGAATTTTTAACTATGTTGAAAAAAATAAAAATTAGAAATTTTTTTTTTAAAAAAAAAGTTTTACTAACATCTTTTTTGACATGTATAATATTACACAATGATCTTATTTACTATATTTGATATTACATGTGATGATTGGTATTTCTATAAAAAAAAACCTGTTTTGAATTTATAAATACTATCTTATATTATGATCTCCACCATTTAAATACAATAAACTTTCTCTTAAAATTATTTCTTATAAATACGTTTTTTTTTCAGATCTAACAAAAGAAGCAAATGATAAAAAAAAGAAAAGCATCAGCATTCAAGGTAGCTAAACTGCGTGCTAATTAAAAAACTATTCAAAAAACTAATATAAAAATTCCTGATAAGTCTTTGAAATGTTTTGATAAAAGATTTAATTCATTAGAAATAAAACTTATAGTTTCATTTAATAATGTTCAAGATAATCAAGTATTGTCTAAAAATGTTGATATTCAACAGGATGTTTCTCAGGTACAAGAGATCTCTGATAATGATGACGATAATGCAATGGTGTCTGAAGTTGCCAATATTCGACAAGACGATCAACTTAAATCATTATCATTACCTACTAAGCCTTTTGCAAAAGAGAACTATAATCCTGATGATGATTTAGAATACGATTCTATTTTATCATTAATTACTAATAAAAAGATTAAAAATGATAATAATGATCTAGAACGAATTCTTAGATTATTACTTTCAAAAGGAAGAATTGGTGATCAAAATGAAGATACTATTGATCAAATCAATCAATTATTGTCAAATATTCAAGATGAACAACGAATTAATCAATCATTAAACATCCAAAATAAACAACGAACCAATCAATCATTAAACATCCAAGATTAACAACGAACTAATCGATCATTAAACATCCAAGATAAACAAAGAATCAATTGATCATTAAACATCCAAGATGAACAATGAACCAATCGATCATTATCAAATATTCAAGATAATTAATAAACCAATAAATCATCATCAAACATCCAAGATGATCATGTTAATATTGATTGTACAAGTCATTTATTATCTAAGCCAATTAACAAAGGTCATAAATGAGGTCACAGACAATTTGGTCTTGATCTTAGGTTATCGTCTAGACAATTTAGTACTAGACGACCCTTTTAAAGATTATTATAATCTGGATACTGAAAAGAATAACCATACAGAATTATATTCAGCCAATAATAATGATCAAATTTGTTCTCATGGGGTTTCCAATCAAGTATGACATAGTAAACGTCATTATGATAATGATGATCAAGATGATAATATTTCTCATCAGGTATCATATATGAACTAAAGTCATCACCTCTCATTTGGCTCTATTCCTATAACAATACTGACATCGCCAACTGAATCTTCACCTGTATCTAATAGAGAGGTAAATTTATTTATAATATGTTATATGATTAAAATTATCTAACCGTTTGATTTTAGGTCACTAGTGAACATGTTTCTGATATGTGTAAAGAGATGAAAGTTATGTTTATACAAAGTCAAAATCCTGGTTCAGCTGCAGTTGCAGCTGTTGTAAAGATTCTATTACCTGATTAGGGAAAAAATAATGAAAATATTAAATTTTTAAAAGGATGCAGATTGGAATACTTAGCACAATACCGTTCACAATTCAATAATGATCTTAACTTTTACGTGAAAGAATATGTAAAAATTAATAAGTAAGTTATTTTTATAAAATATTATTGTAAGAACGTAATTATCACTTAATATTCATCTTTAAATAGCATTTCAAGTATACCAAGTGAAGATGATACAGCATCATTTGTAAACAATACTTTTCTTAAAAATATTTTCTTCACTCAATTAGCTGTTATCGAAGAAGATGAATTGTTCAATAATATAACTATTATCAATACTTTAAAGATACTTTTAAAGAAAGCATTTATATTACATCTGATACTTGAAGTTTTACGTTTAACCAACTATAATGTGGATAACTATCATACATTACAACAAGTAAAGGAATTAGATCATTAACTAGTGATCTGACTATTTCAAATTTAACCTAAAAGAATGCTACCAATCAAATTAATATATCAGCATCAGCTTTACAAAAACGTTGTATACGTAGATCACACAGATAAAGATGATGAGCATATTTTTATTTATAATATATTTAGCAATATACAAGTGCAAATTTTTATATGTAACATAATTATTAAATGGATATCATAATACATTAACAGAATGCTTATGTAATACATTAAAATAACATTTATTCAAAAAATGTTATGTAATGTATAATAATTACCTTTTTTAATAAATAACATAATTCGAATTTGCTAAATAGCTTATTGTTATCAATATTAACATATAATATGTAATGTTAAACAATTATTTATCTGATTTGATATATAAAAATAATTATGTAATACTTAAGATTTATTATTCTGTAATCATGTATACTATTAATGTTATAATCAAAATTTGTCAAAAACCTTATTAATAACTATTCCAACATATATAATAATATGTATTATTATATTAACATCCTAATTGTATATATAGTAATAATTATAAAATACTATCAAAAAAAATGAGTCTGATAGTAAAGTAAGTACACCTGTCTTATCTTGAAAAACTCTCTTACTATAATAATTTCTTTGACGAACTAAAGCTCTACGATGAGTGAAAGCAGATTTTTTCTTATTTACTCAAATGAAGTTAAAAATATTTTAAGGAATTCAAAATTTTGCAATAGTTTTGGAAAGAAAGTGAAAAATTTGTGAAAAATAGAAGAAATTCTTAAATGAATATTTATAATCAAAAGAAGTGGCTATGAAAATTCTCAAGACTGTGAGAATTATTTTCTTGCAGAAAAATAAACAAAAATTCACTGAATCATATTGGATGATGATCATTACATAGAAATCTATAGAATAAAAACCTGTTTAAAATTGGCATAATTAATCAACATTACTAAAATTAGATAATCACGCAATGTTTATGTAACATATTTTTAATCAACATTTTTTTATTTAGTACCAAATTCAGAAAATTTTCGTAAGTTGCATAATTTTGAGAGTTTGACAAAATGCATATATGAAAATCAAGGAATATAAAAATGTTAGTTTTCCTGAAAAAAAACTACTTGCAATATTTATATAGTTTATGCATTAAGAAAGTTAAACGATATAATCAGTTAATCAAAAGTTAATTTTAGATTTGTGTTCAACAATTTTTTCGTGATAGATTTCTTAAATATTAGATTTCAATAAACTTTCTTAATATAGAAAAAGATTGAGTATATTATAAATGAAAATCAAATCAATCAAGCCACTGGGTATATAATTTTATTTATAAAATGATTGATATAAACATATAACTCAGCCACAATTATCAGTCTAACCTAATGAACCACCAGCGAAGAAAAATTCTAAGGAAAAGACCAAGTAAAAATAGATATCCTAACTACTACCAGACCATCCAACTGAAGTTAACATCTGACCTTTTTACAAGTCTTTGTAAAATAACCACTGCTCCAAAAACACCTCTTTTTAATGAAGGTTTTTAGCTTCTAACGTATTTATTCTTTATCACAATGGTTCTTCATAAGTATTTTGATCAGTTACAAGATATGCCAGTCTGTTTGCCATAAGCAACCTCTTTCTTTCTTCTTCTTATGCTTGAGTTTACAGGATCGCAAACTATTCATAAACTTTATTTTTTTATTATGATTAGAAAGTTTTCATACATTTGACTTTCTTTTGAACATCATTTTGTAAGTGATTATTAGAAAGTATTATTTATTTTTTTTGAAAAGTAAAAATTATTGAAAAAATTTTTAGACTTTGAATAATTCAATCAGTACACATAAAAATCATATTTAAGAAAAATAATTTATCATATGATTACAATTAGAAATTATTCAAAATCAAACTATTTATATAGAATTTTGAGTCTTATAAGTCTGAAAGTTAACAAATTTTAGCCTTATATAATATAAAAAACCTATATTTGTTATGTCAATTACAGATAGCATGAATATGACATGCTCTTCTTTAATAGGTCGCACATGAATATGACGTGTATTCTGTAAAATTTTTTTTGCAAATTTTTAGAAATTCAGAACTTGATTTCGAGTATGAAATTATTTCTCACTATGATATTTAAAATTCAAGTAGGGGAAGGATTGTCAACGGAGTAATTGACCAGTCATAATAAAGTCATGTAGATGACGCAGTATAACGATCTCTTAATTCAGAATTCTAAAAATACTAAGAATTTTGTGAATTCTGAAAATACAGAGGATCTGCATAATTCTAAAATACTGATGATAATCCTAATTTTACAAATTAAATGAAGTCTAAAAATATTTAATGTTATACTTATTTTTAATATTTTGAACTTTATTATTATTTTTATTATATTTTATATTTTTATTATTTTACATATATTTATTTTACTTATATTTTATTTTACTAAATTAGTTAGTTTATAGCATAGTAATTAGTTAGCTATGATAAAAGAAATTTTGTATAAATAGATAGACTTTTTGCTTATGTTGTAAATTAACTCTTTTGCAGATTTGTAAACTTTCTTGTGAATACGAGTTTCAATATTAATAAAGGAATCATTCAAAACTTATATCTTTCTACCTCTTCGTGTCTTCATATAGTCTGACATGATCCTTACACATTATTTGTAATTAAGTTCGTCATCTGAATTCTTTAATTAAAATTGTTCATAATCTCGTCTTTCAAATCTTCATACTTGATAGATTTTGTTTAAGCCTAACGTGTAAATTTGGTAAAGTTAAGAGCTAGGCGGATCCTAATGTCTTAACTGCAGTAGACCGCAGTTAGAAATTTTGAGTAAAGACTTGATAACATGACTACCCTGAATTGAAAAATTTTACAGTGACAATGTATTACCTCATATAATATTTTTTTTGATATTTTTCATCAATTAAAAAAATGTATAAAGTGTAAAATTTAGTAAATTTTAAGACATTTTTTTAAATTCTTCTAAACTTAAAACTTTATAAGCTTATTCTTTACATTATTAAATAAAGCTAAATATACCTTTTTGAACTTAAGTTATAGAAAGTAATTTGTATATAGATTTTTTAATAAATCAAAGTTTTTATTTTATACTAAATTTAAAAAAGCTAATTTTGGTTAATTTCTTTTTTTATTATTTTTATAATAGCGTTAATTCTTTGAATATCCCATGTAGAAGGTAGGTTATTTAAAATATTATTAATTTTATCTTCAGTTAGTATTGTTTCTTTAAGTAATAAGAAATTTAATATTTCTTCATTTGTAGTAACTATTCATTGACATTTAGAAGTAGATTCTTTATCATTTAATTATTTATTAATTGATATTTCATATGTTGAATAGAACATATTTTCATTATTTTCTTCAAATATTTTTTTTTTTTGTGAAAATACTATTAACTTACTTATTGATCTTATATCTGTTTTACCTATTTTTAAATGACGTTTTCCTTTTGTATTTATTTTTTCAATTTTAATGACCTTGACAATAAATCTCCTTTATTCTTTTTAATCCTTCATTATAAGTATTACTTAATTTTTCTAATCCTTTTGGATTTAATTATGATGGTATATTATTTTTAAAAATTCATATTCAGTATAATTATCTATTTCGAATATTTCAACTAGATTTTCTACTAATTTCTATAAAGGATCAATTCTATTATCTACTTTATGATCTTTTTTATTATAATTATAAGGATCTAAAATTTAGTTAGTAATATATCAATTCTTTCCCTTTCTTCTTAAGTTGCTTGGATTTAAAGATTTAAATTTTCTTAATTAGTAACATTTCCAATTATATTTTATTTAATATATCCAACTCCATACATTTCTAAAGCTTTGTCAAATGCTAAATAATATTCTTTTTTTGTTAAATTAATAAAAGCATATTATTAAAGATTTTTTTCTAAATTAGGATATTTTTAAGGATTGATAAAAAATGAGTCATAGATATCATATAATTTTTACCAATAGCTGAAAAGAGAGATGCAAAAGCTGTTAAACAATCATGCTGTAATTCATAATTACCTATACATATTCTAATAAGCTGATTTTTTCATATTAAAAAATATTTATAATAAAAATATCAAACTTTAACACATATATTTTTATCTATTAGTTCAATTAAAATATCTTCAATACTAATATTCTTTTTTTTTATATAAATTTAAATTGCAATTTCAATAGCAACCCATATTAATTCTAATACTTTTCTTGTTGATCTATAATTAATAACTGCTTGAAGTTTATATAAAAAGTGAATTCTAATTGCTATAGCTAAATGAAAAATTCTATAACTTGAAAAAATAGTAAATAATACATTAAGCATATCTTTTGATGTATGTTACTAATTTAATATATGTCTTTTTTTTCTATTGAGTACATGATTTAATTAACCTTCTGAAAATAGTTTTATCTGCACAAATATTTAAATATTCATCATCAATTAATAGAAGTTCTTCTTTATACATCTGTATAACATGAAAAATTTCATTATCATCATTTGGAGAACCAGCAGGAGTTAAAATGATTACATTAGAAGATGAGATTAAATAACCAAATTTATATTGAGTAAAAATTTCCTTTTCAATTATTTTAATATCTAAATTTTTGTTATAACTTATATTTTCATTTATATTTATCTGAAATTTAGTGATATTTCAAAAGCATAATCAATTTTACTTTGCATTATATGCATTCCATATGTTATTTTAAAAAGATAAATATCAGAATTAATTCTTTAATTAGTTTAGATCTTTCATTAATAAATATAGGTAATATTGATTAAAATACCATTCTTAGGATATTTCACATGTTATATCATAAATATTACTGAATCTAAAACTAGCTTCTTTAAAATCTATATTATCGATTATAGCTAAATTAAACATATTTTTTTATTTATTAATCATTTTATAAGGTCAATATTTTGTATTCTAGTTTTTTTTAACTAATGCTTATGGCAATTTATATG